GTCTCCCTGCCTCCTTTATCTTACTGTGTGTGTGTGTGTGTGTGTGTGTGTGTGTGTGTGTGTGTGTGAGAGAGAGAGAGAGAGAGAGAGAGAGAGAGAGATCTAGACACTGCTGGAATATTTGTAGCACATATTAAGAATACAAAGAGTTATAAAAACATGGCATGCATTTCAGCCATTTTTATGGCTGAAATAAATAAACGGTATTTATTACAGTGGAAGACACATTGCCGTCGGTGCCCCTGCTGTACGCCTGCTCACTTTGGCCGCACCTGTCCCTTTGTTCTTGCCACCTGCTGAAGCTGTTCTTGAGTCCTTCCTCCTTCGTGAGCATCTTTAGTTGTGCTGTTGTGACTGGTTCCACGTCCTGAGCTGGCTGGAACCGCTTACCTTTCGTGGCCATTTGCTTTAGGACGTGTGGGAAAGTCGCCTGGTGCCAGGCGCGCTGAATGAAGCGGGTGAGGACGCCTCTGCAGTTCTGCGGGCCTGCCTTGCATTGGATGGCACTGGGCAGTCACGCTCACTGCGCTTTTGGTCACACGTTGTAAGGAGTCTGGAAAGATGACTTCCAGAGCTGCTTCAGAAGGTGGCAAGAGCTTGGTGGAAGGTTTGCTTGAGGTAGGGGAGGGATTTTTGTTTTTGTTTTTGTTTTTGAGACAGGGTCTTGCTGTGTGGCCCAGGCTGGTCTCAAACTCATAGCAGTCTTTCTGCCTCAGCCTCCTGAGTGCTGGGATCATAGCAGTTTACCCCCTGGCAAGGGGGAATATTCTGAAGGAGATTAATGACAATGTCTTTCAGTATAATGAATTTATTCAAAAATTCTATGTATTTGTTGATCACCCTGGTAGCTCCAGCATGAGCTCTCTGGAGAAGAGATGGCAGGCTTTGGTGGTGAGTGAGTTTGGATCTGAGACACGGTTCTAAAGCACAATTCACAAGGCTCCGGGACCTCACATTGCTCCTCCGTAAAGTCAGTTAGTAAAGGTCTTTATCTCATGGATCTGAAATGAAGTATACAGCACAGCCCGTGCAGGATAAGTACGCAGTACACCACGCCCAGCCAGCTACTGGGAAAGGCTGATCTGGACAGGCGCTCGGGAGAGGCTGTCCAGGGCCGTCGGGAAGTGGCTGATGTTCTCTGTGGCAGTGGAGTGTAACCGGAGGGTTAGGAAAAGGACCTTAATCTTAGAAAAAGCCTCTCATCTTCAGTGGTTTTAAAATTCAGCTAGTAATGGTTATTAATGATTTTTTATATTTTTGTTTTGAAAAAATAGGGACAGATAACTTTTATAAGCTGATCATCCCTACTTTCTAAATAACATCCCAGTGCATATTTTTTATATTTTGCCAGTGCACAATCTAGGGACAATGCTCACATTTTAACCTACTTCTTTTTTTCAAAAATCCTGAATAACAAGGGAGTGGGCTGGGGTCTGCCTGTCCTTCTGCCCCACCTGCTGGGTGACCTGGGGCCAGACTCTAGCCCTCTCTGTGCCTTCCGTGTGGAGGGTGGGATTGGGCTGGCTCTCTCAGGTTCCTTCTGGGACCAAGTGCTGTAGTCCCGGGAGTCTCAAGCTCTGCCTGTTCTAAAAGCTGATGTTTTGGCCCTAATGGGGAGTTTAAAGTAGTAGCTGCTAAGCAGGGACATGGCCATCACTTACGGGGCATTGAGGAAGTTTATGGACAAGTTTCTAGGGATAACATGGTAGTTGTTATCACTTAAAAATTCCATTTCATGTCAGAAGAATAAAAGAGGCATTAACAGATATTTATAAATAAAGGGTCTGACAGGGTTGGAAACCACCGCTGAAAGGGTTGCTAATGATGAGAGCAATAACCAATAACAGCAGTAATAGGACTGGGTTGCTAGATTCTGCGCTGGAGAATCCAAGTCGAGGGGCACTAAGGGTCTTTGACCGTGACCTGTTACCGGTGAGCTGGGAAGTGGGGGGCAGGGTGGAGCCCGCAGGGAGCACCGCCAGGGCCCTGACTCCGCCCTGGGGACTGGGATGCTGGGCTGGCTCTGTGACATTTGTTCACTTCTGCAGGTTGTAGCGCAGGCCTGTGGAGCCAGGAGGCCGGTGCTGTGCACGGCTCCCTAAAGAAAGTGAGCGCGCTTCGCCAGGCCCAGGCCTGCTGCCGTTTGGCAGCGCTGCACGACGCCTTTAGGGATCGCGACCCCAGCTCAGTCTGATCCTCCCAGAACGGATGTTATTAATGATAGTGGCTTGGTCTCAGGTGAAACCCCCGGTCCATGATGCTGAGGAGGAGGGCGATGATAGATTTCATTTGCACACAACACGTGCCGAACACTGTGCTAAGTGCTTCAGTACTCATAAAAATACCGCCTTTGCTGGCGCTCTAATTTTTATGTGGAAAAGCTTGAGGCGTTAAGCTGTCAGGTCGCACGGTGGCCGAGCGGGCAGGCAGGATCTGAACGTGTGTCTCTCACGGAAACGCGTGCTGTTAACCCACCTGTTGGCCTCTAAGCCGAACTCTGAACCCCGGGGCGTGGGGAGGTGATAAACCTTGGGTATTTTTGATTCTGTGTTTATCCAATAAAAAAAGAACAAAAATAAAATATTAAAAAGTAAATACAAGAAGCCCAGAGAGGTAGAAAATGAATGTGACGTAAGTGACAGTAAGATAACTAAATACATGCAATGGGCCTCCTAGGAGAGGAGGGAGAGGGTGCGACACAAACGGGCCAAACTCCAAGCACCTTCCCGTCTCCAACCCGGGGCTGCAGGTCGCGGCGGCTTCCCGCCTTCACTGAGAGCGCTGGGCTCTGGAGAGGAGCAGGACCCTCTGGAGGACTTGCAGCCTGGATCCCTTCCCATACGTACTTCTTCCTCTGGCAGAGTTCACGGCCACAAAGACTGTTTCTCATTCCAGTGAGAAAGTTGGCAGCTTGATCAGTGATTTCCTGCGCCTTGATGATAAATGGTTTTCTGATTTAAGAGAGAAATTTGTATTTTGAAAGTTCAACGCCCTTTGATTTCTCTGTGATAGAATTTCATTCAAAACAGTTTCCTAACTGTGACCTGTTCCAGGAACTTAGCCAAAGCAAATTTGCTAATGAGGAGTAACAGAAGCTTCAGGAAAATCATGTGCTCCTCAGTGCGAGCCCCATGAGGATGTAGGGACCCCCCTTTGTTTTATAGACCAGGAAGTGGGGACATGTTCAGGGTCACGTCGCCACTTCTGGCTCTCTCCACCGAAACGACCTCCACTAATGAGTGTGAGGACTGTCGATAACTACTGTTGCAAAAATTGTCACATAAAACCTTGTCGAGACAAAGTCTAGTGCATACCAGATCAGTGGGCCGTTAGTTGGTGTACATATTATCAGAATATTTTTAAAAACAAAACTTATTGTATACTACACATATTAGGACCTTTTTCTTTTAAACTAGGTTTTTTTGTTTATTAATGTTTCTCCTCTTATAAAAGCTATTTACTAACTTGCATTGTGGCACAAACCTGTAATCTCAGAATTTGGGAGGCTGAGGCAGGAGGATCATTGTAAGTTCGAGGCCAGCCTCAGCTACAAAGTGGGATCAAGGTCAGCCTGAGCTGTATAGCAAGACCCTGACAAAAAAAAAAAAAAAGCCATTCATATTCACTTGGTAGAGGGAGGGTTGACAAAGTGTACCTGGTGGGCAAAATGGACCTTCTCTACACAAATCAAATTTTACTGACACTCAGACTGCAGGATCTGCCAATCCTAAAATATGCTTGATCCTTTATAGCAAGCATTTTCCAAATCCTGCCATGGAACATTGAAAAAGTACGGAAAATTAACACCAGGAGAATCACTGTCCACACCCCCATCAGAGACTTAGGATGATTCTCTATTATTATTATTATTATTATTATTATTATTATTATTTTGTATTTTAGGGAAGGGTCTACAGGGTGTTCAGGGTCTCACTACTAGATTGGACTCGTAGTGATCCGCCTGTTTACAGCCTCCCAAGAGCTGGGATTACAGGTGTGCACCACCACGCTCAGTCTCAATCGCCATCTCAGTGCACCCTGGGGATGGAACCCCTGCCCCTGCGCCTTCTTGCAGGTGCTTTAATCTGTCATTTCCCCATTATTGTGGGTAAATATCTTGAAAATCTCTGATTATTTCCTGAGAATAAATTCCTAGAAATGGAATGACAGAGCCAATGAGTGTGAATGGCTCTTGGGCCCTGGGTCCTTAGTGCAGAACTTCTTTTTGGCTGCACAGACAGTGCTGCCTGGAACCCCCTCCCCTCCACGCTTCCCCATTGCCCCAACATTAAGCAGATAAACATGAACTCCTTTGCTAATAGGTTTGGTTTGCTTCTGTGGATGCAGGGGCAGGTTCAAGGTGGTGGTCTGCATCCTGTCTGCGGTTACGACCTGCCTGGCATTTGTCAAGCCTGCCATCAACAATATCTCTCTGATGACACTGGGTGTCCCATGCACTGTGCTGCTCGTCGCAGAGCTAAAGAGGTAGGTGCCAGGGTCCTGCCAGCCCCTGGGGCTGTCCCCAGGACTGTGTTTCTTGGCTGTTCTGCAGCCTAGTCGAGGACCTCTATTCTGTATGAAGCCTTAGTTTCTGACCGTTGGAGCAGAACGGGCTTGGTGGCTCGGTCCAGCGTGGGGAGGGTCTCTCTTCAGGTGTGAATGCGGTGTACCCTGATGGTCAGTGCAAGCTCGTTGGGCGCCCTGAAGCTGCAGGACTTCATTCTGCAGAAAGGAAAGTACATCTGTGCGCAGGACAAAAATAAGAGGCAGGGGCGTCATGAAGCGGTCACTGCCCGCCTGTGCAGGAGGCCCAGAGGAGGAAGGCCGGGAAGCACAGTGCTCTGTGCCAGGAGCACTCACCTGAGAGTGAAACTGTCCCTGAGGCTCAGTGTCACAAAGGCACTGCCAGGAGCGTTTTCCTTTGGGCGGCTGTACACCCGTAGTGCAGGCTGATACCAGACACATGTCAGTTAGGCGCTCGTGTCTACGTGACCGTCTTCTCCGTCCTACTAAAGTACCTGGAGCCAGTACCCTTATGTTAGTATCCATAAAGAACATGTCTTCTCTTTGAAGCCACCTTAAAAATGCGTTTAGTCCATTCCTTTCTCATTGCTGTGGGCCTTGAGGTCTTGGCTGTTCACCTTGCGCCACAGTTGCTCTGGTGACGTGAACTCAGCGCTCTCTCCCAGGTCAGAGAGTAGATGGACCCTTCTTCCCAAGCACTTTGCCTCTAGGAGCTGTTTCACTGCCAGCAGTAGCAGTCAGAGCCAGCGGTGACTGAAGCTGGTGATAAGTGTCAGGCCTCCTGCAGGTGGCTAGCGTCTCTGAGTAGCCTTCCAGAACTGGGCATGTAAGAGATTCATTTTGGAAACAGGCTGAGACTGGTCCTCCAAGAGTAGCGAAGACAGAGAATCCTTTTGAATAAAGAAACAGTCAGTGAACACTACTTGAATAAAAGCATAAATGAAACAAACTGCCTGGAGCTGGCCTGGCTAGCTGCCTCTGCTGTCCATCTGAGACCACAGACCTGACCTAAGCCGCACATTTCAGGCCTGACAATATTTAGCTTCCTGGAGGAAGCCCTTTCTCCACTTCTGGGCAGTAACTTGGAGCTGTGATTGTCAAGAGACTGGGAGGGAGAATTTGTGGCCTTTAATAAATAGCTGGTCACCTCACCATCCAACAAATTGGTCTTTAAGCTTAATGTTTAATGTTTAAAGTCACAGGACCTTGCACTTGCCAGGCATCAACAGCATCTCTCTGATGACACTGGGTGTCCCATGCACTGTGCTGCTCCAGTGACACTGGGTGTCCCGTGCTTCGCCACTCAGCTGTCTCCCGGGCAAATGACTGCTCTCCTTGCATGGTCTCTCCTTCACTTATCTGAGCTCTGCAGCCACCAAAGGCGGGGGTGGGTCCCTTCTGCTGCTGTGGCTGCAGGCTTGCTTGGAACCGAGCATGATGGTCATGTGCGGCCAGGTGACATTCATTCTCCATGACATTATTCTGTCCGTGGCAATGCATCTGAAGCGAGCTTCCTAGCTGTCCCCCTTCTAAGCCATGCATTCTGGAACCCCTTGTAATCTGGCTCCCTTCCCCACCAGTACTCCGAAATGTCCCCTCACTGATTACTAGTGGCCCTTTCAAAAAAATCTAATTTTTGTCAAGTGACTCATTTTATTGTGGAAAAACTGAAGAATAGAAACAAAAAAGGAAATAAATTAATCACTTATTAAATATAGCTAATGTTTGGCAGTGCTTGGCTCATAGCACTCAGTGTGCACAGCAGGCCAGGCCAGGTGAAGGCAGCAAGTGCCCACCTTGGCGTGTTTGCCAGCTGACCTTTAGAAAAGGCCTGGCTCTGTAGCACTTTTATTAAAATGAGGGGTTTCTTCTTCCTCAATGAGATTTTATTGGTGCATTTTAGATATACAGAACGACCACGTGTGTCGGAGGGAATTTGTACCTGTGTGTGGCGTAACTTGGCTCTTCCTTTTTCCCCCTCCACATTTACAAAAGCTTTGTTTCCATTTTTACCTTTTTTTTTCACTTAAAAATAAGGTTTTAAAAGTAAGTTAATTTGAAATTTATTTTCTTAGGCATATATACTGGTATCACAGAAGCATTTGGCAGAATTTTGTTTTTGTCTGCTAATTCTGCATCGGGTGCCAGATGTGACCGCAGCCATCTTTCCCACACAAACACGGTGTGGCCATCCTTTCCAGGATCAGGGGACAGACTAAGTCCACGACCTGAGGTGCTCTTTCTCTGTGAATAAATATACATTTGGGTCCTTTTTCTGTGGTACTGGGGACTGAATGTAGGGCCTTGGTATTGGGAAAGAAGTCTGCAAACTGACACCCTTCTTTGTTTGAGACAATGTCTTGCCTGGGCTTGGTTTGACCTTGGACTCCTCCTGCCTCAGCCTCCCAGATGCTGGGCTCACAGGTGTGTGTCACCGTTCCCAGCTTAGTGATTAAGGCGGGGGTGGGGGGGAGAGGGCTCTTTGTGGGGTTAGTGCCTGATAAAGGCCCTGGGAGGGTTGGGGAGATGGCTCAGTAGAATAAGTGCTTGCCTGGCAAGTGCAAGGGCCTGAGTTCAATCCCCAGTGCTGCCAAAAAAGGCCCTGGGAGCGGCGGACTCCAGCACGTGGAGCCAGGCGGCCTGCCCGCGGTGAGCAGCAGCACTCCAGCACGTGGAG